CAAGGGCAGATAATTTTGATAAATATTTCAAGGGCAACTTGAGAGAACGGCTCTTAATTTTTTGTATAAAAAAATGTAAAATAACTATTTCGCGCATATTAAAATATCAAAAAGTGTTAAGATAAAACAAGTAATTTTTAAGCAAAAAACAAAACCGACTTCAACTCTTAATTTCTTCATGATTCAATGATCGCATTTAAACCAGATTAGTATGGGACCACCTGTGAGGTAACACCCTTTCCTTTCAGAAAATCGGTTAACGTGGTCCAAAGTTATCCGGTAACATACCTAAAAAAAAATATTCCGACGAATTGATAACCTTGCTTTTTGTGTAGTCAGTTAAAAACTAAATATCGATTGCATAGACTTTTTCCCGTAAAGTGCAGGGATATTATTAATTATGTCTCCAAACCAAATTTGACAAGGGATGACGGAAATTCGTTACAAAATACATCATACACCCACCCTGTCGGAAACAACAACAACCAAAAAGGAAATATTATTAACCCTTTCAATACAACAAATCGACCGTTGAAGCTAAAAATCTGAAGATTTAAAAAAAGTTTTTATAAAAATGTTAGTTTTCGTTATTCCGTTCCGTTATTCGGCGTTAATTATATTGGACAGTGGTACTCCAGGTTTGTAAAATGAAAAGTGATCTCTATTATTTTTTTTTTTTCTTGTCCGAAATATATTTCAAAACTACGTATGAATTATACTTAAAATTTTTTTTGAACACAAATTCCACAAAAAAACATAAATTTCTTTTGAGGTATTATATGTCCACCATTGACTTCTGTTATACGCGGCCAATTGTATGCAGAAAAAAAAAAAACAATTAAATAAATGCGACAAAGACGAATGATATAATTTTCTCAAACAACTGTTCTTTTAACAACAAAAGCTATTAGTTACAAAAACAAGTACCTTTTAAGCAAGAAACAACACCGACTTCAATTCTCGTATACAAATTTAAGAGTATCTTTGAGCTCTTTATGTTCTAATCATCGGATCTAAATCAAATCTGAGGTACCAACTTTCTTAAAAAAAAAAGAATTATAGAAATCGGTTATGGTGGTTCAAACATACCCACAAAAAAAAAATGTATATGTATATATTCCGACGATTTGATAACCTCCTCCTTTTGTTGACGTCGGTTTAAAAGAGCTTTAAGTACAAAAAAGTTTGTCCAATATATTGGACGCTTGTACTGAAATTGTTAAAACAGTTACGTGAGTTGTTGGTAATAGTTTAGCGCTTTCTAAGCATAGCGAGTTTGGCACTTGTAAGAAGTACTGAGAAAGTGGAGTAAGTTGTTTGAAGATTTGCCAATACCGCGGTGCTATTATACACGATTTCTCAACGACAATGCCCGATATTCATAATATTCGTCGATTCAAATGAGCGCAACAGCTCTCTACAGCGACTAGTCGTTAACTGGTGTTTGAGCATATCAGAGGTGCTTGAGTAATCAGTCATTCCCAATTGTAATGCGACCAAAGGCCTTTGGCTCCAAATATAAATGGGTTAATGGTCCGCCAGTTTGGAAGTGGAATGCAGCTCTTTGACCTGCAGGGTCATATGACGTTTGTGAAAAATAAAACAATATCTAGTTGCGATGTAGATGAAACTGTAATTCCTTATGCGAAATATGCAAACATAT